ACTTTAGGATAGCTAGTATTCTTGTTGTTGTTGTTGGAGAACTGTGCTGAATACTCCAGGGAATGCCAAAAGAAAAAAAACAGATCTTGGAGAAAGTGTACCCAAAATGTTCTTTGGAGGCAAGGATGTTGAAACTTCATCTCGCATACTTTCGGCATATTATTAGGAGGGGCTGTTCCTTGGAGAAGAATCACATTTGCAAAGGTTTGGAGTGTGAAGAAGAGGAAGCCTCTCAATTACATGGATTGACATGGTGACTGCAGCAATGGGCTGAAGTATGTCAAAGATGTTGATGGCCTTCATAGGGTCCCTGTGGGTCATATGCAACCCAATAGCACATAACCACAGTCACTTTCTAAAAATTTTTTAAATTTTATATTCTCATACAAAATGAGGTTAGGAATGTCAGGGACAGTGAGACTGGCTCAGGATAAGGCAGAGTTCATGGCTACTGTGCATACGGTCGCTATGAGTTGCAGGCAACTCGACTGCATTCATATACATTGTGTTTTATAAGATCCTTCCCACACATTGTGTTTTATAAAATCACTATTGATTAATACCCACTGTCGTCCTTTCTTTTCAGGTCTCCACTAGATCGTTCCTAATTCTTTCATTCCTTCTCTCGCTCCATACACTGAATTCTATTATCCTGTGATTTCCTATCCACCTTTAGCCATGTTGCCCCCTCCCCCTTCCCTCTTTGCACTTTTGTCCACATATTACTAGTTATCCTTCTATTTTTAAAATAATGGTCAAATGCAATATTTGTCCTTATGATACTGAGTTCACTCAGTGTAATGCTCTCTAGCCTCTCCATGTTAGTTATATTTAACAAAATTGTTGCTCCTCAGTGCTGCATAGTATTCCATTGTGTGAATGTACCATAATTTTTCATTCCATTTGTTGGGGGGTATTTGTGCTATTTCCATTTTCTTGCTCTTATGTATAATGTTGCTTTGAACATAGGTGTACAAATCGCCATTTGTGTCTCAGTTCTGCTTTTTCCTTAAGTTATATTCCTAGCAATTGGACCATACTGAATTAATTTCTATGTTCAGCTTTTTGAGGAAACACCAAATTGTTCCAGAGTTGTTATATTTTTTTTACTGATTTGTTGGTTTTTAAAAATATCTGTATACTTAAAATATACAAATTGTATATTTGAAAATCCCACCAACAATGTATGAGAGTTCCGATCTCTACACACCCTCTCCAGCATGTTTTGCTTTCCATCCTGCTAAGCTTTGCTACTGCTATTGGAGTGAGAGTATTTCATAATGGTTTTGCTTTGCATCTCTCTCATGTCCAGTAATTTTGAGCATTTCTTCATGTGTCTGTTGTCCATCTGAATGTCTTCCTTTGTGAAAAGTGTTTCCATGTCTTTTGCCCATTTTGTGATTAGGTAATCAGTCTTTTCCTTGTGAAGACCCTGTAGTAAACTTTGATTATGAGACTCTTGTCTGAGATGTCATTGCCAAATATTTTTTTCCCCAGTCAGTAGGTTTTCTTTTCACCCTACTGGAAATAACTTTTGATGCACACAGGGACTTTAGAAGATCCCCTTTGTCAATGTTATCATCTTTCGGTATTTCACTATTATATTTCTGACTGTACTTGCCAGCCTGTTTATACCATGCTGTTATTGTTGTGTGCCACTGAGTTGAAACCGACTCATAGCTTACCTTCCAGTGGGTTTTCAGAGACAGTTAATCACACGAGAGGAGACTGTCCATCCTTCTCCCATATTTATACTATTGGCTAGGGCTTTTAAGTTTGGTTCCATTTTGTGTCTTATGATCTTAATGGTTTTGAAATTTATCCCAACATCTCTCTGTTCTACCTTGAGTTGATGTCAGTTATGGTATGGGATGTGGGCCCTGCTTCAGTTTTCTGCAGGTTGAAGTCCAGTTTTGCCAGCACCACTTGTAGAAGAGATTGTCATTTCCCCTTTTGATAGGTTTTGTTTCCTTGTCAAATACCAGTTGACTCTAGGTTAATTTCTTGGTTCTCAATTCTGTTCTATGTGTCTGTCATTGTACTGGTACAATGTTTTGGTTATTATAGCTGTGTGGTAGGTTTTGAAGTTCTAGTGGCCCGCTGGTAAGAAGCTGCACTGCAATCCCAAAGGTTCGTGGTTCAAGGCCACTGGCTGCTCCACAGAAGAAGGATGGGCAATCTTTTCCTGTGAAATTAACTGCTTCTGAAAACTTGCCAGAGTAAGCTATGGGTTGTTTCTGACTCAATGTTACACAAGAAGTAGGTTTTGAGATCAAAGAGTGCTTTGCCTCCCACTTCATTTTAATTTTTCAGTAGTGTTATGTTTATTCAAGGTCTCTTTCCTTTCCAAATGAACTTGCTAGTTGCCTTTTCTATCTCTGAAAATGAATTTGGTATCTGTATTGGGATTGAGTTAAACATGTAGATTGCTTTTGGTAGAATCGTCATTTTCACTGTATTGAGTCTGTCTAGCCAAAACCACAAGGGAAACATAAAAAAGGGGAACATTTTTTTCCATTTAGTTGAGTCTCTTATTGCTTCTCACAGTAGTGTTTGGTAGTTTTCTTTATAAAGGTGTTTTTGTCTCCGTTGTTATTGTGTGCTGTTGATTTGGAACCAACCCATAACTGACTCTCCAGTGGGTTTTCAGGTGTAGTTAATCGCATGGAAGAAGATCATCTATCCTCCCATGGAGCAGCTGGTAGCTTTGAACTGCATGATGTAGGAATGGCAGTGCACCTTCTTATCACTAGGCCACCAGAGCTCACTAGTGAGGTTTATTCCCTAGTATCTCAATTTATGGTTGGTTATTGTAAATGGCATTGCTTTCTTAGTTTCCTTTTCTGTGTTTTCTTTGTTACTGTAGAGAAATCCACTGATCTTTGCATGGTGGTGTTGTGTACCATTGAGTCAGAACTGATTCATAGCTGAACCTCTCGTGGGTTTTCAGGGATGGTTAATTGCATGGGAGGAGACTGTTCATCCTTCTCCCATGGAACAGCTGGTGGATTTGAACCATGTGCCTTCAGGATTGCGGTGTAGTTTCTTGCTACTAGGCCACCAGAGCTATTGAACTTATAAAATCATATGCATTTATGTGAGAGTTATCACCATTTTGCTGATCTGGGTGCCTCTCACTGCCTTCTCTTGTCATATTGCCCTAGCAAGTACTTCCAATACAACATTGAATTAGAGTGGTTAAAGTGGGCATCCTTGTCTGGTCCCTGTTTATTAGGGAAATGCCTTTATTCTTTTTTCCGTTGATAATTATATTGGCTCTTAGTTTGCATATATATGCTTTTAACTATGTTGAGAAAATTCCCTTCTGTTCCTATTTTGTTGATTATTTTGATCAGAAAGGGATGTTGGCTGTTGTCAAAGGCATTCATCAATTTATAGGATCGTGTGGTTCTTGTTCCTTGATTTGTTAATATGAGGAGTTAGGTTGATTGTTTTTATATTGAACCAACTTGCATATTTGTTAATAATCCCACTTGTTCATGATTAATTTTTTTTAATATACTTTGGCTTCTTAGCCAGGATTTGTTATTATAGGATTTTAAAAGAATTTTTATATCTGTATCTATATTAATGAAAGATATTGGTCATTAGTGGTTTGTTGGGTTTTTTGTTTCTTTTTTGTAATGTCTTTGCCTGCTTTTGGTATTAGGATTATACTTACTTCATAGAACGATTCTGGAAATGTTCCCTCTTTTTCTATTTTTTGAAATAATTTATGTAGAATTGGTGATGGTTCTTCTCTGAATCTTTGGTAGAATTCAGTCATGAAACCATCTGGGTTTATTGGGGGGAGCAGTCTTTTTAGGTTTCTTCTTTTGTCTTGGATCTATTCAAATGTTCTCCATCTGTTCATGTCAGTCTGGGTAGGGTGTGAGTTTTGAGGAATTTGGCCATTTGGTTTTAAAATTAACCAGCATATAGCTTTTCATATTATTCTGCTGTTATCAATTTAATATCAGCTGGTTCTGTTGTGATGTCACCTCTTTCATTTCTTATTCAAGTTGTGTCTTCTCTTTCTTGTCTTTTATTAAATTTGCCAGTGATTTTTCTATTTTATTGACTCTTTCAAAAAACCAGCTCCTGGTCTTGTTGATGGTTTCATTTGTTTTTCTATTTTCTATCCCATTCATTTCAGCTCCTGTTCTTATAATTTCCTATTTTTTTAGAGGATGTGGGATTGGCTTGCTCCTTTTCTATTTGATAGAGATGTTGAGTTAGGTCCTTAATTTTGCTTCTTTCCTGTTTCTTTTATGTGTTTGCCTATTGCTGTGAACTGTCTTCTGAGGACTGCCTTAGCTGTAGGTGGGAGGTTTTGCTATATTGTATTTTCATTTTTATTTGTTCAGAGAAACTTTTTAATGTCATTCTTAATTTCTTCTATAATCCAATCATGTTCTGTTGTTGTTGTAATGTACTATTGAGTTGCATGCGACTCATAGCGACCCTATGCACAACAGCCCTAAACCCTGCTCTATTCTGTGTCAATGTTATTGTCTCTGACACACCTTTCCCTATTACCCCAGTCACTGAATAAATCCACCTCATCGAGGGTCTTCCTCTCCTGCTCTGTCCTTCTACACTCCCAAGCATGATGTCCCTCTCCAAGGACTAATCCTTCAACATGTCTAGAATATGTTAGACGAAGCTTCAAAATCCTTGCCTCCAAGGAGCAGCCTGGCTTCACCCTCTCCAGGACGAACTTGTTTGTTCTTCTAACAGTCCATGGTATATTTATTACTCTTCTCCAGCTCCACAGCTCAAAGGCATCAATTCTCCTTCTATCATCCCTAGTCATTGTCCAGCTCTCTGATGCA